GAGCGAGTGAGCGCTATCGCGCGCGCGCCACGAGTTTCGAGTGGCCCCGCCAGAGGGGGGCTAGACGCTAGAGAGCGAGAGTGCGAGCCCGCCGACCACTGATGGTCGTGTGGACGGCGGTAAGTAGCGGGGAAACGGCAAAAAATCGTTCGGCCGGCTGTGTTGGTGCGTCGGTGGCGTTTTCGTCGTGTATCTGTGTGCGCGCGTGTTCTCGTGTCGGTTTGTGTGTGTGTGTGTGTGTGTGTAGTGGAGGTGCATGAGCGTGCGAGAGACCGACCGACTAGAGGAGTCGCTCAGACGGGTGACGAGTGTGTGAACTGTGTGTGTGCGCGCCAAGTAGAGCGGGGCGGCGGTTTGTGTGACTGTGCGTTGTCGGACGATGTCGGACCGAGAGAGCGGCGATGATCAGCCCCAGAGTCAAAGTGAGTTTGCTGTTTTAAATGCATCGTGTAAGCACTTGAACAGCGCGAGCGAAAAATCGGCGGCGGCGCGCGAATACGACCTGCCGCCGTTTTCCGTGAGATAACGGATCCGTGAATCCAAGATGGCTGACCCCGAGCCGCCGTATCGGTGATACCCGCATTCATTGGCTCATTGCAGTTTGCACCGGTATTGTCTTTTCTCCCTGGACCGGCGGTCGAAACTATTGTCGCTCTTGTCCAGAGTGTCCTTGTGGGTGGTTTTCCCTGTTCCCGCGTCATGTGACCGCACACACACTAGTCACCCCCTAACATATGTCCGTGCAGTTGTCTTATTCCTTCTTTTTCATATTGTCACAACGAAATTGAATTAACTGTTAAAACGGTGGACATAATTTCTTGACGAAAAAAAAACCCCTACCCCACGACCTAGAGGACGGTAGTTAGATTCTTGGATTCCCATCATCGTTTAACGGCGAAATTTGTCTTGTCGGTATTGCCGGTCATCGAAATAACGATATAACATGTCTTCCGGAGATACGAGATTGAGTCGCAGACGAGGTACTTGTTTTTATCGTGTCAAATAGTGTTCCCAGCATTTGAATTATGAATGCTACCAGACGGTTACTGCTATGCTTACCCCTTTACGAGTCGATATTGGTGTACAAATAATAGTTTACTACTCTGGCAAACAACTAATCCGTTCATTTTTGATTTTGATTTCCAGGGCAAACTTCAAATGGAGCTACAGGATCTGATTCTGGTAAGAATAATTTAATATCTTACAGAAACTTGGGTTTTTTTTTTCAATTGTATGTAATACTTTGTAGATATTAAGTGTATCCTTAATATAAAGAATAGTGATGTTTTATTATGTTAAGCTATTTGACATTATACCATAGTGACTGTTTTTTTTTTTAAAATTCAACAATTATGAGATCTATATGATCTGTCCAATTTTTTAAGTTTAAAATAATATGAGCCAGAGTTTCCTAAAACTGTAGGGTTAGGTACTGATAAATGATAATATTATTATAAGATACAAGAAAGTAAATAAATAAAATAGTTCAAATGGGTTAAGGATTTAATTTGATTCTTAATTAAAAAATTTCCATATTGGTATCTAAAACTGTTTGTTAAGTTTTGAAATAATTGTTTATTTTTGTAATTAAATGAATCATTAATCAGATGAGAAATATAATTATATTTTTTATATTTTTAACTATATTCCTTTATAATCTTGAGGTCTAATTATCATTTATAGTTAATTTATTTTATAATTTGTACCTACTTACCTATTATTCATAATTAGGTATAGTGTGCTCCATAGTTTCAATTAGATTTTTTAAATGTTATAAATACACACCTATGTCTTAAAATTGTCCTTTTCAGTTATTCATAATGAACATAAATAGATATATCATGATTCTGCAATAAAATCTAATATTTATTTACATAAATTCTTTTACTACAACCTGCATACATAGTACATTTGTATTAATGAGTTTCATCAAGATATTTCTAATTAATTTGCATTCAGAAAGCCTAAAAATCTCGTTAACTTTGCAGTTTGTCGTGCAGTTCTTTTTGTCGTTACCAATGTTTCCCAAAGCTTAAATTTTTAATAAATGACCACATTAAGATATCAATACAATATTTTATATAGCTTACAAATAAACCTAAAATATAAGAAATCAATTTTAAATTGTAATTACTATCATTATATCTTGTGGAGATAATATCTAAAGAATTTAAATTATGGAATGTGCATTTTTTTCATAGGCAAGTCACGTCTCTACAATGTCTTAATAACTTTGTTTTTAATGATTTTTAATTCTTGGACCACCAAAAACATATTTATTTTTTGTGGCCAGTGTTATAAAAAATCTTGGCCTCCAAACTCAGTTGGAGTGTTAGCATTGTTAATATTTTACAATTTATATAATTTTTAATATTTAAAATTTAATTTAATTGATTATCAACTAAAAACAGTTGCAAACTATGATGGTTCTACAAATCATGGTTAAAAAATAGCCCAATATAATTAAATATTTGTTCAGTAATTTTGGTTATTACAGTTTATCAAATTAATTAATATTTATTTACCTACTTTCCTTTTTTTAATGGCAGTCATATTAGGTACATAGAATATAATTAATTTTAAATCTCAATTTATAATTGAAATATAGTAGCTCAATAAAAGTATAAATGTTTATAGGTATAATTACTAATTATCATTATTTATTTATTATGTTCACATTTAAATACCCTTTCTCAAGGTCAGTCTTCACACACAGTAGCGTTAGCGGTTACAAAAAAATGAGCCACACTGGCACTATCAAGACAAGAGAATTTTAATGCCACCCTTGCAGTGTGTAGCGACCTTTGTAAATTTTGTAAAGATTAGAAAGTAATATGTATTATTACAAACACTATTACTATAAACCTCAATATATTTTAATAGTATATTACTAGTGTCTCGATCAATTTTTACTATCGTTATTTATGGATGTATTGTGTTTTTTTCTATTATTTTTATAATTTAGACAAATTAGACTAATAATTAAATAATCTAAAAAATCCAATATTTGTTTTTCTTTGCAATATTTATTTTAACTTTTATAATCTAAACTAAAAAATATTTTTACAATAAACACAATGGACAGATACATAATAGGGCTTGATTGACAAAAAAACTATTCATTTATACTTTATTGCGTGGGTAGAAGTGGTTAATCGACTTGTAAGTCACAGCACAAGTTACACTTGAGACGTCGGTTAGGGTCATTTGGTATTATACAGGAAGCAGGGGCAGATCAGAAGATTGGGAAATTTTTCAATGGGCCAGTCAAATAATCAAATTATGAGACTGGCTAGGGCAGTTAGGTTGTATAAATAATTTATAAAGGTTTTTATATTAAAATAATAGTTTTTCTTTCAGTTTTAGGTCTGTTTAAAACCTATAAAATATAACAAATAATACAATAATAATCATACCTAAAATTGCATTTTGTTCTAAAAACAGTATTTCTGATGAATAAAAATTATAGCTATTAGCCAATGACGCAACTGGTAGCTGTTTGGGTTTGTATTACTTGTTAGTTTCTGTAAGACCACATATTATTTTATAGTTTTCAATAGTATTTGAATAAAAATATAGTTAAAAACCAAGGCTTTGCACCTAAAAATAATATTTTTAGATAATTAATAATTTAGTTCTAACTTGCATTATTAATATTATTCAATTATAATTAACTAATATTATAACTATTATAAAAATTATAATTATATTCACATGATAAATTATGATTTAGATCTTATATATTGAGGTTCTCTAGTAAAATAAAATAGAAAAACTTTAATTTTTATATAGAAAATTTCAAATACATTTTTAGTTTTAAGCATTTTTTTTAAAGATGATGGAAAACTTATAAATACTAAATAGTATATTTTTAATATGATTTGATTGAGCACTAAAAAAATTAATAACAATTGTGATGCCTATTTTATAGTTTTTATGCAGATAGACTGTATTGAATTATAGAAGTCTATTATGAACAATGTATGTAGTGTATTTAAAAATAAATCTTGTAGAAATTGTTTGAGATGTTGTTATACTTTATAACTTAATTACATATAAACAATATATATAAATTAAAGCATATGTTATGCTATATAAAGCTTAAAAAACTTAATTAACTTGATCCATTATATAAACAGCTTGTGAACGAGCATTTTCAAAATTAAAGTAGGTAGTAAACATTACATTTTTAAATAACAAAATAAAGTAAACATAAATTGATTTATTGCATTTTTAATTGATTTTTATACTCTAAAAATGAACGCAATTTTCTTTTTCAATCGAAAATTGTTTATGGAAACAGTATATCTTAGAAACTTTTGTTTTAATGGCTATAGAAAAAAAAAACATTTTAAGTAATATGGGTACCATACCAAACTGTGACAAACCATTTAGCCTAAAGAAGTAAAACACTACATAAATTATTAATTCCTTGAGCTATTAAATATCATTACTATGTATTTCTAAAACATGTTATATATATCCTGTTATTATTTATATTTTGAATATCCAACTTATAAAATGTGTAGTATTTTAAACATAAGTCTGTAATAGTGTGTTAGGTTGGAATTTGGACCATGGTTTGGGTTGCTTTAAAAAGAATTCCCAGGACGCTCTGAATGAGCCAGTCTGCCCCTGATAGGAAGAGTGGTTTTGGCTTCATAATAATATTATATTGTTAGGTAATCATCTAATATGAAATTATTATTTTTCAACACAATTTTTAGCTTTAACATATATTTATTTAATTTTTTTGTTAAAACTGTACCAGTTAAATAAAAATAATATTAAAAAAAAGTTAAGTAAAAATATTATAAAATAAAATATAATTATTAATTAATAAAAATGTTTATAAAATCCGACATTAAATGATATAGTTTGTAAAAATTCTTTATTTCTGATTTTTTTGGTATTTCTAAACACATATTTTTTAGCCTTTTTTTTTGTAAAAACTGTACCTACCAGTTAGGATATTTAAMAATTTAATATTTGCTTGTGCATTTGATGTCTGGAGTGCTTCAATGAACATCCAAATATTTGGATGCTGGCTTCTTATCAAACTTTTAGATTTACTTTTGAAACCCTCACTTATATTATTTGTTGTTATTATTTGTTACATGTATTTTTCTTCGTTGCATTATGCACATTCCATTCATTAGGCGAAAATATTGGTAAAGACCAATAATATGTGATGAAAAATAATTATTTAATATTCAATGATTAATAATATAACGTTATTAAGATATAGACTTTTAAAAAAATTTGGGGGGAATTTTCTGGCACACCGCAAATAGCCAGGGGGGGGGGTATCCGCAATTCGAAAGTTTATATTGAGTATTATCAATGTTTTTGACTGTCGGAATGAAAATACMAGTATACTTGCACATTTTACAATTAAAACCTATCCTAACTTAACTAATATTTATTTTTATATACCTAAATTGGCTTAAATTCATTACAATTATATTTAAAAACTGTATTTTATATTTTTTATATTTAAACAAATTATTAAAGTATTGCATAATTATTATAATTTTTCGCATTTTTATTCAATTGACAATTATCGTTTGAATTGACATTGTTTCAATCTATTAATGGGGTAATCCCATGTGAATATTAATGCAATCCGTGAGTGTGTGTTAATCGTCCTGTGTTAAAGCGGGGGTGGGGACGAATGACGTCTGAGTCATTCAGTTTCTCATAAGAGACGCGTCACCACTCACCACAGTCAAAAGATTCGTAATTATTTCCAAGCACATGGTTGTGTATGGCCGTATGGGTATGGGCATAACATATAATAGGTATACAACCAGACATCAGTTGTGTTTTGCGATCAGTCGATGTCTAATGTTTTTGTGTAGTTATAAAGGACCTAAGTAGGTGTCAATTTATAAGAGTGGTGACTAGTGTGCGTAATTTTTGAATGGAGATATTATCATCTAATGAGACGAGTGGCGTAAGCGCTAGATGTATTTCGGAAGATAATGCCAATTGGAATTATGGAAGAATATCATACTGGCAGTCATCCTTTGGTAATCTATTGGATGTTTTTAAATTATTTCAAAATTTCTGCCCCTAGCTAGATAATTCGTTATTATATTTTATCGATTATTTCATAAATTTGTAGTAATTCAATTCATATTTTTATTAATTAATAATCTAGTATACTTAGGGTCAAATGG